TGGGCGTTTTTTATTGCGTTTCAGCGCAAAATCCGTGCGGAAACCGCCCTGGTGTGAACGGGGCCTTAGAGCTAAAGAAAATCCCACTCCTATCCATCTTCTCTTTCCAATTCACAATAAAAAAAATTAAGAAAACAAACTTCTATTTTTTTAACTTATCCCAGTCTGCCAGCTTGTGACCCTTTGCAGTCCCTCTTCCTGTAGTAAAGATCAGTGATATGTCGCTGTAGACCAACTGGTCTTGTTGCTGCTCCTCTCATCGTGACGTCATGAGATTGCTGCTTCAAATCTTCAAGATGCTATGAGGACCCCTCTGATATACTCTTCTTACAGCCAATGAAAAGTATCCACACCACCAGGCTGTGATGTGGCCACTCAAAAAAAGAACCCTTCTACAATGCAGTTCTTAAGAAAGGAGGCCCCAGACATAGCCTGTCAGGTGACCACAAATTTGGGTCCTTTAGTTTAGTTTGTTTTTTAAACTAATTGGGTGATTTGCTATGGGGGGTGGGGTGGTTAAAATATAATGGAGTTTACAATATCAGTTATGGAATGAGCTATGTTTTCCCTATATCTTCAAAACTGATTACATGCAAACTGATTGATCACAAATTGTTTGTTATAATACATCACCATATCATGGTCTTACGTTCTATTGCCATTAATGGACCATTGCTGTATATCTTCTATGCATATTGTTCATGTTATCTGTTATTATCAATAACATTGATTCACCTATAAAGTATAATGTAGTGGGGGTATCTCAGTGATCAGCAGTTTATGTTCTTACCATGGCAAATAGCTACTTTAAAATGTATCTATACACAAGAATTTTTTTTTTATAAATTGCAGCTTACAAGTCCTTAGGTGTTGTGGCTGCATTCATTTCTTTTTTTCAAGCTTCTTTCTTTTATTTTTACCTGGTGACTCTGCCAGTAACCCATTTTCAGTCAGAGAATGACAACGCTCACCCATCCTACCGTATCAGGAATCAACAGAACAAGATAGGACTACAAGACTCTACCCCTCTTCTCCGAAAGATAAAGGATTGTGTTTCTCAAGTCCTCATAGAAAGCAGGGAACAACAGATAATGAGGCAACAAAATCAGAGAGCACAGGAAGTTATCAGCCCACAAGATGTCTGGCAGAATCAACAGATACTTTTGTACTTATCAAATAGATATAACAAATCATTTTCAATTAGAAATAAGAGAAGTTCTAGTTGGGGTTTACAAACCCTTTAAGGCATTCACAAGCAAAAAATGATCAATTTTTCTAAGATGTGGGAGTATGCTGTGTAAATTGTTGTCACTATATAAATACCTGCAAGCGCACATGAGGTTGTTCCTGCAATATTGCCCATAGGGATATTCTGTGATATTTCAATCACACGGTGGCACTGTTGCAACTGAACAGTTTCATGGCACTTTCACATTTATTTTTCAAACATAAATAAGTAGACCGTTCACATGGAGAATAATATATGCAAATCAAGTTATTACACATTCACAGGGAACAAACCTTACTTAAAAATTAGGTATGAGCATGGAATTAATTTCAATAAAAATGCCTAAACAATATCTGGCCCGGCTTGTGGAGTCTGTTTTCCCTAGACTTGTAAATCTGGCATTCATTAATAACTACAATACTTTGAAAGCTGGACACACTTAGTAAGCACAGACAAACAATGCTTGTAGGAGGAAGAAAAGCCAAGCAAACATTAGAAGCAGTTGCTTTATTGGCCATCACATATCTTCAGTGATTGCAACCAGGGCAGGGGATGCTCTACAGCCCTCCCTGCCCAGGAGGCTACGATCTGTTGCCTATGTGACCAACTGTTACATCTATACCGCTGCCTATCCTTGTAGTTGCTGGGTCTGTGTTTGGATGAAGCACTGAGATCTAGAGGGATGCTGAATTAAGTTTTAGTTGCTTAGGAGAACATTGCATCAGAATACAGAATTTTACAGCATACAGAGAAAACTTCCTGTGTATCATAGATAAGCATGCATATAGAAAACTAACATTGCAATACAGCACCATCTACAGCTCAAAAGACAAATACATATTAGTACATTAGAATATGCTGTTGCATTTCCAACTGCAGTACCCTATGGTCTCCAACTGTGGCCTCATTTTTGCATTAGGGAGTCCTGGACAAAGATCACGGTGTGGGCTGTTGTCAACTTTACAAAACGAGACAAAGGAGGCTGTAAATGACTGTAAATGACTCAATGTTACCCTGATTTGACACCAGATACAACACTTGGATTAGGATCATACTGCTTAGGGCTATTATTGGGTGTGCTAATGATTATTTCCCAAGACTGGAAACCCCTGAATTTGCTTAGAGGTTTTTCAACTTTCCAGCCATTTCCTAAATACTAAAGGGTAACCTATTCCTGGTATTTCATCAAACCCCCAGCTGAAATATTTAACCCTTAAAGTGACATTAAAGGCAAAAATGTTTTTGCCTCAACACAACGTTATTGAAAGCACCTACCTTAAATGATGTCTCTTAATCCGATCATCTTCTTCTTTCCTGTAGTTTTCAGCCTTCTCTCCAACGCTGCGGCGAGTCTCCGATCCAGCGCTGACACCTCTGTGATTGCTGGCGCTTCCTCTCCCACGGTGTCTGCATGCGGGTGCACGCGTCCATAGACTTACCTTGTGTCTCTCCTCGCGTCCCGGCCAAAAATGTAAACTGCGCATGCGCCCGCCCCAAGATGCTTTGCGGCCGCCCGAGCGGGTTCACATTTTCGGAAGGGAGCGCGCAGGGAAGATACAGGTACGTTTAAACCGCTGTTAAATCATTTTTTTTTTAACTTTTTGCATAGATCTACTGCTTGCTAGCAGTAGATCTATGCAAAAAAAGCTGAGGGTTTAGAAACCCTTTAACCTTACGTAGAAAGTACAGTTATCTTTTTTGCCCTGCCCCAGATGTAAACTTACTTGGGTTGGACAACCAAAGCAACAGGAATCTTTAGCTCCTTTCGCCAAAACCCTTTTGTTTCCTGGCCACATCTGTGCTGTAAAACCACTTATTGTTATGTTGTTGTTCTCAGAGGCTGACTCTCGATATAGGAGCTCCTCAGCTCCATGAAATCTATAGGGTTTTAGTGTGCAGGCACAGTCAGGAAAAGGAAGACTATGTCCAGAATTCCCAAAGATTCCTGTGCGATGAGGTTGCTCAATTCAGATAAGTATACATTTGGTACAGGGGAGAGATGAGTTCAGGTCAGATCAGTTCCCCTTAAATCTACTTCCCCTAAAGTACCATGCTACTCTCGTTGAGTGCTGAACCTCTCAAACCAGAAAGTACCTCTCCTGCACTAAACTCAACCAGCTCCAAAATTCGCAAATTAGTTGCCATGTCAAGTATACAGTACTACACGTATCTTATATTTCAGGCATTTATTTAAATTTTTTGTGCAAATGCTAACTCTGAGCACCTGGTGCACTGTAAAGTTCCTGTTGGCATTAGGCTTAGCAGAGGTCTAAGGACCACTATAGCCAGAAATATTGTTATCTGGTAACTTTATGGGGTTAATACCTGTAATAATAGTATTCAGTAGATGAATTCCTTTTATTATTTCACATGTCCATATTTGTATTCTTCTCCAAATTTATATGCAGACCAAGCTGTCCAGCAAATGTGACAGTTAAAGGGGTTGACACAAACACAACACTGCTAGGGGTGTTTGCAACGGTCAGCCTTTATTCATGTGGTTTAAACTGTTTTTTCCCCCAAATTAAAAAATAAAATCTGCTGTAACTACCACTATGTGTTAGCTGGAGTTGGTCTCCAATGTGTTTGTTGATTACTTGAGCTCCAATTAAAACTTCATGTTCCTTTCTACGGCTAGCTAGTCCACAGAGTGCCAATGCCACAGTGATTTCACTGCAGAGCAAACAGCATTGTTACTCTGAGCTGTGGAAGTGGAAAAATCAATGGATCTACTGGTAGGATCAACAGGTCAGAAAAACAAAAACTGCTGTGTTAAAACAAGTGACAGCTGAATCATACATGTGATATTTTGTTTTGGTCATGGTTCCAATTTAATTACAATATTTAACATGCTTATTAACTAAAGTGTTTTTCTGACGTTTATTTACTTTGTGTGTCTCAGCACTGCTCATTATTCTGTGGAATGTGGTTCGGAATTTGACAAAAGTTGTTAATCTCTGCTGTACACCATGCGAGCAGGCTGCGGCCTACCACTTGAAGAGAGGTAATGCCCTCCAACTTCTTGTGGTGGGCCTTGACAAGCTCAGCTTGGCCTGCTGCTTTCATTTGAACATCATAGCAGTCTTGCTGTCCTGTGCCCAGGCCTATGTTATCTGTCTAAAAATCGATGTAAATAGAACAGAGGAATCTTGAAACTGATCGGTCTCCCAAAGCATGCGTATAAGAGAGACTCAAAAAAGACATGGCAGAGAGAAAAACAGGAGAGTCCTTATAGTGTAGTAGTAAAGTTGTGGAAATGAAAAGGGAAAAACATTCAGTATAAAGGAAAGTAGTATCTCACATCTAGAGAGGCTGCAGAAGACTACAGAAGTGGTGTGGGCAACCTGAGTGATACACATCCATGCAGAGATGAGAAAGCGGCGGTCACACTCAAAGCCTTTGGACCAGCCCAATTCTAGTTCAGCTTAAGGGAACTTTGAAGTGGTAAGGAACGCCATGTATCAGAAAAAAACAAAGGAAGCCTGTTGGATAGCAGAGGTTTGGAACAGATGTTAAGAAGTGATCAATTGGTAAGAAATTAATTTGCTGAACACCAAAGTAACACGTTTTGTGGCAAACTGCTGCTGTCTTCTCAGACATGCGGTGTAACACGGGTTTGTGAGAGCTGGAACGTGCAGGGTACTCTACAACAGGAGAAACCTGGTTGGCTTCCTTTGTTTTTTGCACGGCATACACCATAGGAAGTACCTGAATCACAGAAATGCCTCTACTTCTGGTTTCTAGGGACACATAATAGCTTATGGGTGCTCACCAGAACATTCCACTCTGAAGAGGTCCAGCGAAGCAGTCAGCGAAGCTTCATCTACAGTTTTAATTCCACGCAGGGCAAACTTCACCAGAGATGCCTTCACGACTTCTGGCAAGAAAGAGAGCAGGTATAGGGGCATGTAGACAATGTATCGCAGGCTGCACAGAATCGGAGTCATGATCTTGCCTTGTGGTGACTGAGCCATCCTTTCAATAGTAGGAAACAGCAAAATAGACTTTAAAACCTGAAAAACATCAAAGAAAAATCAAGATTAGGAAAGACTGTTGCAAGGTGGTAAAATTACAGCTGGAAACTCATTGGCAGCTACGGCAAATACAGGTCTTTCAGATGGCGGTATAATTTGGCTCCAAGCTCGCTCCTGTGATGGACTACAATCTCAATACAAATTAGTAATCTAAACATGAGATTGTAGTCCATCACAGGAGTGCGCTTGGAGCGGTGACTACTTTACAACACACACAGGGACCATGGGGAACAAAAGTAGCCCCACCCCCCAGAAGGAAGGACAGTGTCAGCACCAATTCAGAGATGATTAGAGGATCTACAGCCGAGTGATACACAAATAAGATAGTTAATAGTTGGGGTACTTGATTGAATTTTTAAGGTTTAACTCCGAAGTTTAGTGTCACTTCAATATCAGATATTGCTAGTGAAGACCCAAGTTTCTGTTCTTTAAATAAGACCGGGCCTCCCACAAACTCATCTGATTATCATCCCATTGGTTGAAACACCCAAATAATGAATGTAGTGTCACTTTAACAATGCAGGTTTGTGGTCATTGTTTGAACAAATAAGAATAAGAAAAACAGATATTGATGTTCACCAAGCTGAAAAAGGCTATAATACTATTTTTAAAGAATTTGTACTGCAGCAGTCAACTGTCAGAAGGATTGTGTGCAAATGGAGACAATTCAACACCATTGTTAACTGCCCTCATTAAAAATATTCCCCGACTTTTTCACCAGGACAGGAAGGAGAACGCAGCAGTAAAATAATGACAAGGTTCTTATTATTCTCTGCTCTATCTAAAACTAACATAGCTTCTAATCCCTACCTGCCATAACTAAAAAATTTGTAAAGTTCCACAGTAAATTTCTTAATCTGCACTCAAATTGACAAAATCTCACTTTCCTATCCTTTAGTGCTAGCTAAAATGTGATCACATCTGAAAAGAGATCCAAGTGTCTGACAAGCAATATACCACTAGAGGGCAAAGTACAGATAACAATCACTTGGTAATCCCCTAGCTCTGTACATAAGCACAGGCTTTCACTTCCTAGGAATCAATGTGCTGTAGTGGTGAAATTGTTACTTTACAATGTCTGACATCTACACATCCAGAAAAGGATCATTCATGAAGCTGCATAACTGACCTTGATGAACAGCAGAGAAAAAGTCAATTGGGAACATACCGTATTCTGCAGAGCTTTAAGGTACCCAGACCAGCCTTTCTCAACCTTTTTTTTCCAACCTTGGAGGAACCCTTGAACAAAATTTCAAGAACCCCTGCTAAAAAATATAATAATATCTCCAACTCACAGTACATTGGTGTGATGAGAACTGTATGTTGTACATATAATAAATAAAAGTATAAGTCACGTTGGGTGCTCAACGGACGCCAGAACCAGAACGAATACATTTTTCAACATTGCCTCGGCTTTGTAATTCATAATTATTTTTTGTAATAATCATAAATAAAATATAAATAATAATAAAAAATATAATGGATAGCAAACTGCAGAAACTGAAAATTGTAGTGCACCTTTTACATTTGTGGCTGTCCCCTTAACTTTGTGGTCAGTGTAGTGCCAACGTAGACTGGCGCTCACTGCCTTACTTTACCTGAAAAATTAGATGCAATGTTTTGCTGGACCCATGGCATTGGCTCTGCCATGTGATGTTGGTGCTGGAGCAGCTGTACTGCATGCTTTGCACGTGTACCACCTGTGCAGTGCCAGGCTATTTATCACTTGCTCCATTAACTCTTTGTTGCCTGGCCACCTCTATTGTTTCTTGGAACCCCCTGGGATATAACAGACATGGGCTCTCAAGGTACTCAATAACTGCACCTCACTCCTTAGTGGCAGAGCCCACCACTGAGAGACACATAGTCTGGTGTGATCAGTATAAGGCAATGAGATAACACATGCACTTGGAAGGTAAATTGGCACCTGTCTAAATCGGCCCTGTATGTATGCATGGGATATAGGGACCTTAGATTGTAAGCTCCATGAGGGCAGCGACTGATGTGAATGTACGCTATGTAAAAGCTCTGCGTAAATTGTCGGCACTATATAAATACCAGTAATAAATAAATAAAAATGCACTCCTCAGGCGTTTCTGCAGCAGTCCAGCCCACCCAAGCTCGTTGCTAGGAGAAACCCTCGTCTTGGGGTTAGGAGAAGGATCAGTTCACACATAGAGCTTTTTTAATACTTTACTTAATGTTTCTTAAGTAGAACATAATGCACACTTCAGTCATCCACACTCAAGTGACGGCACAATACTTTTAGAACACAAAATAGTATCCAGTGATAGATGAGAATATTTGAAGTGAAGCCCAGAGCCATGGAGGGGTTTGCCCAGAGTCCTGCATCCTTACTTAGGCATGCAAGTAGTCTCTTCACAAAAAGTCTTGCTCCTGGACTTCATGCTTCCACCATGAGTGGAAGCTGACAGAGATAAACAGCGACTACATCTTGATGTGCCTGGCCCTATGTCTAACCATGGACCAGTTTCCTGCTTAATCTTCTTCTGCCCTAAATTGGGCTCCTAATCTGGGAGGGGAGCCCAGATTCGCACAGAACAAACAGTTTCACAGGACGTATGGCTCTGCGAATAGTTTATAAAAACCCACCTATGTAATGAAATAGTACATTATTTACACAGGTACCTACTTCAGATTAAAAAGAGGGACAACTGAAGAGAAAGAAGGCCAGAGGCATATCATTCTAGAATTCTTTAATTCTGATGAAACTGTCTGTTACAAACAGACTGTAGCAGATTTTCTTGGTCCATGGCATTTACTGGTGAAAATCTATTGGATAGGGTATTATATTGTGTATTATGTGTGTTAGTCCAGAGATAAGCGTTAAGTACAATGTGGCTTAGTGGTTAGTACTTCTGCCTAGCAGCACTGGGGTCCCCAGTTTAAACCCGGTCAGGACACTTATCTGTATGGAGTTTTCATGTTCTCCCTGTGCTTGTGTGCTTTTTCTACCACACTCAAAAGACGTGCTGATAGGTTAATTGGCTCCTGTCTAAATTGGCCCTAATAGGTGTGCATGTGAGGGACCTTAGATATTAAGCTCCCTGAGGGCAGGACTGATGTAAAAGTACAGTTTGTAAAGCGCTGCGTAAATTGTCGGCACTATATAAATGCCTGAAATAAATAATAAATAATTGACAAGCATGCAACTCATGAAGACCAAAGTAAATCAGGGCCCCTAATCTGCATACTAGTTCCGGATCTGTGACTACAGAACGTACTGTAGCCAATGGATTAGCATGACAGCCACGGAACTAACAATTTTAGAAGGGGAGGACAGATGTGGCAGACTCTGCACAGTCCCTTCAGTAAAAAAAACCCAAAAAACTAGACAATATAAAAAAGGAAGCCGAGGAAATCTCATACATACCCATTATATATAAAACAGACTCCGAGAAGATTTACGAAGAGCAAAGGCTGTTTGTCTGTCAAAAGTTAACACTAACTTTGATATATCTGAGTACATCCCATGCTCTGCTTTCCTTTTCTCCTCTCTTCCTTGGGCGGAGGGAGGGAGAGAAATATTATTATATCTGTTAGGTGAAACCTACTACATTTTTGTCAGATAACATAATGATGTACTTAACAGTAATATAATGTCCAAATTTGACAGTGTGTCACATTCATCAAAATTGCTTCTGCTCAGCATGACGAGACCTGGAGGCAAAATCACTGGGGTCAAGGAAATACTCTTAGCTTTATTAACACAGCTGTGCTGAGAGGCCATCCAAGTTAACGCACATGACAAAACAGACACAATTCTCTCCCATTTCTCTAGCATCAAAGTGGGCCCATCTAGGATAACACATTCGCGTCGCTCTAAGGCAAGGCTGTAACACTTTCCATATTGTTGTTTGAAATCTATACACGTATAAGCCAGAGCTACTTGGGTTATAAACATATTTGTTAAACATTAAAACCTACGCCTGTGAATTTTTTTATTTTTTTTTTATTCGGATTTTGCTCAAGGGTAGAATTATAAACTCCCACTCTTTTAACAGTTCAGAAAATTGACTTGCTTTAGATGTTCAGTAACAATACAAGGGGGATTAAATGTTTTCGGCAAGTATCTGAGGACCAGTTTGAGGATCGGTGTCCTAGAGAAGGGTGTGTGCTGAAGCACCGGTTGTGTGCCAAGTAAGCTCTTGGGCTTAGATACATTACCTGCGTGTTATCATTGGCTTGCGTTTCCATGGCCAGGAAGAATTGTTGGCACGGGACGCAATTTTTCATAGAGTTAAAGAAAAATACGGTACAGAGGCATGTGCTTATAACATTGCAGAACATTTGACACAGACACAAAACAAAAATCTAATAAAAAAGCATGTAATATATACATTGACCAATATGGTAAGGATTGGCCAAAAACATGTCAAGAAATCAAAAACATCCAAATAGGGTATTTACCAAGAGACAAAATGTGTCCAGCATGAACCGTGTCCTTTGACACAACGAAATGGCAAGTTCTACATATTGGCCGATTTGACACTCTATAATATGGAAGCATGCAGAAAAGCTGATGACCATTGTATGTTTACTTAAAAATAATATATATCACTAGTTGGATCCCTATGTAAGCACATCTTCCTGCTAAGAGTTTGACTTGGCTGTTCTTTCTATCGGTGACTCTGATCTTCAACCAACTAGAGTCTCTTGGCAACCCACGTATTCCCATGTAGTGCATATGCTGGTTTTATAATCTTCTAAACATCAATTCATCTCTGTGCTGAGTGTTTTTAAAAAGAGACCCATCAAGGATTTGAGATGCTGCAAAATAAAAACACTCATTTTGCTTTTGAAAGCAATGGTGCTTGACACTGGAATCAGGGCTGGCATTAGATTGCATGCCATGCTGTTCAAGATTTTACCATGGTGCCACCAAACTTACATCAAGAAAATCCAAACTTACAAATCCACCTCATTTTTGTCTCCCGTTATCTTTCCTCTGCCACATG